CACTAATGTGAAAATATGTTTAATAGGAATGTATATGTATAGCCTCTATCAGATTGTGAGCTGTCTTGGGGAGTGGGGGGGGGGGAGAAGAAAAATCTAAAACTCAAAAGCTGACGGAAGTGATTGCTGATAAATCAAAATAAATTAATAAAAAATTTGTATTACTCTCGTTTAAAAAGTAAAAACTAAGAATCCTTCTGTATTATTTTTCATCAGACACTACTGCTATAGCTTGAGCTCATCTATACAGCAACATTTGTTTATCCGTTAAACATATGTGTAGGTTCAAAGCACTGAAGGAGGTCCTTGAGGAAGTTACAAAACTAAGAAATGATCTCTTACTTAAAGAAGCTTATGATCTATGAGGACACAGGGTATTTACACTAAAAACGATTAATACAAAACAAACATCAGTAGTACACAAAGAAATGTATCAAGTGTAATGGAAGGAGATGGTATTTTATCTGGGTCTTAAAAGAGGGGTAAATTCCTTCTATTCAAAGGAATAGATTAGGACTCTAGCACACTTTTCAGATAAGTGGTGCTAAGGAGAAAATTAAAATACAATTCTGAAGAACTGAACAATAAACCCTAGAGCAGAGATTCTTAACTCTTTTTGTGTCACAGAATATTATCATGTTTTAAATGCACAAAATAAAATATTTAAGATTACAAAGGAAATCAATTACATTGAAATACAGTTATTAAAATGTATATTAAAAAATTCATGAACCCCAGGTTAAGAAGCTTTTCCTAGAGGAACTGTCTGAAGTTTAGGAAATTTCAATCTGGAAAATTGGTTTTTAGAGGTAAATTTCCTTTATTACCTGATAATATTATTTTTGCAAATCTACCAAGAAACCCAGTAAAAATGGCAAAGATAAAGTTTATTTACCCATAATTTTGTAAACTACTACATAAATGTGAGCTGTAATTTCTCCAAAGGGTTCTTCGTGCCAGAAAATATTTCTTTTGGAGTCATCAGTTTAAGGTTCTTGTTATTTTGACAATTATTAATTGAAATGAATCAATAACCATTATGTCAAAATTGCAAATTTAATTCTTTTCCCTACTCCTTGCTTTGAGACCACTGTTTGCCACTATTCATCTATTTTGCACTAGACTGATGCTGATCCCTAAAACAAAACTTTCTTGGGATCAAAGAATAGTTAGTGATGCCATTTTTAAAGAATTCAGTTTCATTTTCTTTTCAATTCCAAATTCTCTCTTTTCCATTTCTCCCACCCATTGAAAAGGCAAGAAAAGCAAAACCCATTATTCACCATGTCAACCAAAACAAATTCCTGAATTAACCATGTCCATAAGAAGAAAGAATATATGCTTGAATCTGCACTCTGAGTCCACTGGCTCTCTATCTGGAGTTGGACAGCATGATTCATCATTGGAATTGTGTTTGGTCATCGTATTGATCAGAGTTCCTAAGTCCTTCAAAATGGATTATCTTTACAATATTGTTGATATTGTATAAATTATTATTTTTGTTTGGCTCATTATCAGTTTATACAAATCTTCCCCACGTTTCTCTGAAACCAAACTCTTTATCAATTCTTACAGAACAATATTATTCTATCATATTCATACGCCATAACTTGTTTAGACATTTCATAACTGATGGCTGCCCCTCCCCGCCCCAGTTTCCAATTTTTTGCTATCACAAAAAGAGCTGTCATAAATATTTCTTGCACATACGAGTGCTTTTCCTCTTTCTTTGATCTCTTAGGGGTGCCGACTTGGTACTATTGCTGTGTCAAAAGATATGCACAGTGCAATAGCTTTTTTGGGAATAGCTCACAACTGCTTTCCAGACCAGTGCAAAGCTCCAACAGTGGGTTAATGAACCTGTTTTCTCAGAGTCCTGCTAGCATTAGTCATTTCCCTTTTTCTGTCAACTGGGCCAATCTTATGGTATGAAGTGGTACCTTAAAAATTGTTTAAATTTGCCTTTTTCTAATAAAGATTTAGAGCATTTTTTTAATCTGGCTATTTCTTCCTCCAAAACCCACCTATTCATATCATATCCTTTGATCATTTGTCAATTGGAAAACAGCTCTTATTCTCATACATTTGACTCATTTCCCTTTATATATAATTTTACAAATGAGACTTCTATCAGAAGCTTGATGAATAGAGTCCATCTCCCCACCCCCAATTCCCTGCATCTCTTTTAATTTTAGCTGCATTGATTTTGTTTGTGCAAATAAAAAAAAATGTAATCAAAATTGTCCACTCTGCCTTCTGTGAATCCCTCTATCTCCTATTTGGTTATGAACTTTTCCTCTATCCATAGAACTAATGGGTAATCTCTTTACTGTTCCTCTAATTTGTTTATTGTATGCCCCTTTATGCCTAAATCATGTATCCATTTGGAACTTGTCTTGGTATATGGTGTGAATGTTGGTCTATACCTAGTTTCTGCCAGATGTGCTCATTTACTTCTGTATATCACATATCTGATCCATTCTACTGATCAATGTCTTCATTTCTTATCTAGTACCAAACTGTTTTGATGATTATAGCATTGTAGTATAGTTTGAGAGCATTTACTGGTAAGACTCCTTAATTTCCACTTAAAAAATTTTTAATTCCCTTGTTATTCTTGACCTTTTGTTCCTCCAGATGAATTTTGTTATTATTTTTTGTAGTGCTATACAGTAATCTTTTGGAGTTTGGATGCTATGGCATTGAATAAGTAAATTAACTTACATAATGTTGTCATTTTTGTTGTATTGGTTCATCCTAACTATGAGCAACAAACATTTCTCTAACTATCTGGATCTGTATTTACATAAAGAATGTTTTAATGTTCATCTAGTTCCAGTGTATCTTGGCAAGCAGACTCCTAAGTACTTTATATTGTCTTAAATCTCTTACTACCTCTTTCTGCTGAATTTTATTGGTAATCTAAAGAAATGCTGATGATTCATGTGGTTTATATCCTATAACTGAAATTGTTAATGGTTTCAGTTAGTTTCTTAGTTGAGTCTTCTAGAGTTCTCTAAGCAAACCATCCTATCATTTGCAAAAAGAGATATTTTATTTCCTCTTTGCCTGTATTCATTCTTTCCATTTCTTTTTTTTTCTATGTGTCTTATTTCTATAGCTATCATTTCGAGCAAAACACTCAATAGTTATAGTGATAATGGTCATCTTACTTTCCCCGATTTTACTGGAAAGGCCTCTAGCTTACCCCTCTTAGATACTACTTATCATTTTTAGGAAAACTCCTTTCATTCCTATCCTAACGTGGGATTTTTTTGTGTTAAAAACCAAAACAAAACAGGAACAGGTATTGTATCCTGTCAAAAGCCTTTTCTTCATCTATTAATATAAGCATTACGTGGATTGTTTTTGTTATTAATATGATTAATTATGTTTATAATTTTCCTAATATGGAATCAATTTGGCATTCTTAGCATAAATCTAGCCTGGTCATTGTGTAAGACCTTAACAATATGGTACTGTAGTTTCTTTGCGAATATTTTATTTTAAAATGTTGCATTAATATTCATTAGGTATGTTGGTATAATCTTAGTCTAGGAAACTGCAAGGGTAGTTTATCATTATTATGACTAGTATTTATTTTTTTTAAAATTCAGAAGGAAACACCAAATAATACAGTCATTTTCATGTACAAAGTAGATTTTATAACCTGAAGATGGAAATCTGTTCCATATATAGCTTGTTTCTCCTTCCAAGTATGTAACAAATTAACAT